TAATTGATGAGTTGCTAGATGAGTTGGGTGGAGCTATTATTTTTTCTAAGTTGGATCTTAAATCTGGATATCATCAAATCAGGATGAAGGCTGAGGACATCCATAAAATTGCTTTCAGGACACATGAAGGGCACTATGAGTTTGTGGTAACGCCCTTTGGCTTAACTAATGCTTCTTCAACCTTCCAATCACTAATGAATGAGGTACTATGACCATTCTTGAGGAAATTTGTCTTGGTATTTTTTGACGATATATTAATCTACAATAAGGGAGGGGAAGACCATGAAAAACACCTTCGTGCTGTTTTGCAACTGTTGGAAGAACATAAACTGTTTGCTAATATAAAAAAATAGAGTTTTGGCCAGAGACAAATAGAGTATTTGGGCCACGTTATTTCAGCTCAAGGAATGGCAGCAGACCCTAAAAAGCTGGAAGTCATGATGTCTTGGTCAACCCCTAAGGATGTGAAGGCATTAAGGGGTTTTTTGGGGCTCACAGGGTATTATAGGAGGTTTGTGAGGAACTATGGCAGCATTGCCAAACCACTGACACAACTGTTGAAGAAAGATAGTTTCCATTGGAGTAAGGAGGCTCAAGAAGCTTTTGAGACGTTAAAGGCAGCCATGGCAGAACTACCAATACTTACAGTACCAGATTTTTCGAAAACTTTCATTGTAGAGACAGATGCGTCTAGTAAAGGATTGGGAGCAGTTCTGCTTCAAGAAGGCAGACCAGTGGCTTTTCTCAGTCAGAAATTGTCAGAAAGGGCCCAAATGAAATCAGTTTATGAAAGAGAATTGATGGCAATAGTCATGGCAGTACAAAAATGGAGACATTATTTGATGGGAAGGCACTTTGTCAGTCAAACAGATCAGAGGAGCCTCCAATTTCTGACTGACCAGCGCCTGTTGAATGATGAGCAGCTTAAGTGGGCTTCTAAATTGATTGGTTTTGATTTTGAAATAAAATATAAACCAGGGTGCGAGAATGGGGTAGCAGATGCATTGTCTAGGAAAATGATATATGCAGCCATCTCAGTTGTCCAATTTCAGGAATTAGAGAAGTGGGTTGATGAGGTACATTCTGATCCCAAGTTAAAAAAAATTACCCAAGATCTTCTACAGTACCCAAATACACACCTAGGGTTCTCTTTACAGAATGACAAGTTGTTGTATCACAGGAAGTTAGTTTTGCCAAGGGGTTTTCCGCAAATTCCTATGTTACTTTCTGAATTTCACAACTCTGCAATGGGAGGTCATTCAGGTTTTTTCAGAACTTATAAAAGAATATCAGCCTTTGTGTTTTGGGAAGGGATGAGAAGGGATATTCAACAATATGTGGCAGCTTGTGAAGCTTGTCAAAGGAATAAATACCAGACTTTGACATCGGCAGGTCTCTTGCAACCCCTACCGATTCCCACAGAGGTTTGGTCAGATGTATCTATGGATTTTATTGAGGGTCTCCCCAAGGCTCAAGGTAAGGATAGCATACTAGTGGTAGTTGATAGACTACCATTGTGCCATCCTTTTACTGCTCGTGATGTAGCTGAAATTTTCCTTAAGGACATAGTCAAGTTACATGGATTTCCAGCTACCATTGTTTTAGATAGGTACAAAATTTTCCTTAGCAAGTTTTGGACCGAGTTATTCAGGTTAGCAGGAACGAAGCTCAAATTCAGTTCGGCATATCACCCACAGTCGGATGAACAAACTGAGATTGTGAACAAGTGTTTGGAAACCTACTTAAGATGCTTAACAAGAAGCAAACCTAAGCAGTGGCCTAAATGGTTAAGTTGGGCAGAATTCTGGTTCAACACCAACTATAATTCGACTAAACTCACATCATTCAAGGCCTTATATGGACGAGACCCACCGCTCCTTCTCAAGGGTACCCCAATACCATCGGCAGTAGAGGAAGTGAACAGATTGACACGAGAGGGATGTTATTCTACATGATTTAAAGGCTAACCTCTTAAAGGCACAGGATCATATGAAGAAGTTTGCTGATAAACATAGACGAGAGACCCATTTTGAAGTTGGAGATTTGGTTTATCTTAGGCTACAGCTGTATAGATTGAAGTCCCTTGCAAAGAAAGTAAATGAGAAATTAAGTCCGCGTTTTTATGGGCCCTATCAAGTGATTAAAAGGGTGGGACAAGTTGCTTATCAGTTGCAGTTGCCCCCTGAAAGCCGTATACACCCAGTTTTTCATGTTTCTCTCCTCAAGAAAGCCATTGGGGGGCCACTATCACACCTCAACCTCTACCCCTCATACTATCAGAGAATTTCGAATTACAAGTTGAGCCTATGGAAGTCGTGGCAATACGCAACAATCATTCAAGCAATGTTGAAGTACTGTTGAAATGGAAGGATCTTCCAGATTTTGAAGCCACTTGGGAACCTTTCGATATTATCCAGGAACAGTTTCCACAATTTCACCTTGAGGACAAGGTGAAACTTTTGGAGGGGAGTATTGTTAGTAACAGATCCCCAGTTAAGAATGTTTATGTTAGAAAAGAGCAAAAAAAAGGAAGTGGGCTACAACCCAAGGATTAGAATAGCTAGTTAATATTTGTGGCAGTTGTAAATAACTGAATTTGTTGCATGTAATAATAGGATGTTAATAAATAGGAAAGGGAAGCGGGGAAAGTAGGATAGGGAAAAATATAATTGGAACTTGGTGGGAGAGATTCAAGCTCTCGGATTCCTGAAGCGTATAGTGGAGAACATTCATCTTGTTTTCTCAGAAATTTTCAATTGATTCAGTTTCTTATATATAACTAGTGTTTTTCTGTTTTTTATTCCTTTTTCTATCCTTTGGATATGTATTTTCTTGGTTCACTTATTTTCCCATTAGAATAATGTGTAGATTTTGCTTTTGCATTTTTTGTAGCTTATATTCATGATAGATTATGACATCATTTGATTCCTGTGACTGATCCACCTACTGGCAAAAGACTTGGTTGTTGTTGTTTGTACTATGGACATCTTTAGAGAGTCATAGCATTTCTTGCTGAATCATTTTGCAAGTTTCATACCCTTGACAAGATTGTGCAATTTTCATAGAAGGAAGAGGGAAAAGACAGCTATGTGGTAGGTGTTATATAAAGAGGCTTTGGTGTCTAGCTGATTAGAGAGTAATGCTATAATTCATTGTGGTTTGTGTTTATTGAGCTTATCTAAGAAATAATTATCAAGCAAACTCTCTTTTGCTGTACTTCTATGGTTTCTTCTAGGGTCTGTCTTTGATGGATATTCAGAGAGAGCAGAGAGCCTAAGATCCCTTATCTTCTCATATGTTTTAATTTATTTATTTTACCTTTTTCCATTCTTTTTGATAAAAACTGGTATCTTTATTCTTAATACAAGAAGAAACTCCCAACATTATTATAGAATAAAACACACACTCAGCAGTTCTTCGAGGGACTGCACCTCCTAAGCCAAAGCCCCTAACTCTCTCACAATTGACAAGCTGACCTCTCTCTCTTCCTCCCTCTTATTTAAAGAGGCAATATGCCTTATTTCTTATACAATCTCAACCATCACAAATTAATAACTAATTAAGGCTGTTTAGATGTCCCACATTAGTTAGGAATAGAGCTAGAATATTCCTTGTAAGGGCTAGAATATTCCTCCTCTTATGAGTTAGCTTTTGGGAGTGAGTTAAGTTCAAGTTTCTTAATATGGTACCAGAGTTTATCCAGTTTGAATATTGAGCTGTCCACAAATGTCCAGTCATGTTGGGCCGCCTGTGCAAATGTCCAGTCTTGGGTATGAGGAGTATGTATTAAGATGTCCTACATTAGTTAAAAATAGAGTCAGAATAATTCTTATAAGGGATAGGGTAGTACTCCTTCTATGAGCTAACTTTTGAGAATGAGTTAGGACTAAGTTTCTTGACAAAGGCTAACTAACCAACTAATATATTATAACTAACTACTAATATGCCCCTCAGTAACATCATAGCTAACTACTAATGAGGGTTACCTATAAAAAGAAAGTTTTGGTAATAAAAAAGACATTTCAATCTAGGAACATATAAACATTCAAGTGGTAATTTCATCAAAAAATGGTTGCTCATTAACCTCTTCTTTAAATCTTCAATCAGTGGAGTGGTTTCTTGTTCCTGAGCTGGAAATGTTTTTTCATAGAACTCCTATTTATCTCAATTTCCTTTTCCATTTCTTATTCTTAGCTCTTACCCATGTTTCCCCTCTAATTGATGTTTCATTCTCTTATAAAAAAAATGGAATGTATACTCTCTTCATGATTTTTGTGTAACATACAAGACAACCATAAGGGTTACCATAACTCGAAACTGCATCAGTGAGCTAGATCACAAAAAACCTCAGGTTTTCCCTGAAAAATACATAAGAAAGAAAAGACCTGAATAGAAATGCAAATTTATATAAACTACAGTAACATTTCACCTTTCTTGATCAACATTGTTTTCTAGTGTTAGAACTGTGGCAGAGGAACATATGGTTGATATCAATAAGAGACCTTAAGTGTGGAAGATTTATTTTAGGAGGAAGGGTAGCAAAGAGTCAGCTGCTAAAGATAAAGATAAGGCTTAGCTAATGTTAGTTTGTTAATATTGCAATCATATTCTATAAATAGAGAGTTAGTTTCTTTGATTGAGGCATCTTTGATTCTGTTAATTGTTTTGGGGAGAATTTCATTCTCTGTTATGGGGGATTCTTTTGTAATCCTAATTGCTGCTAAAGATAAAGATAAGGCTTAGCTAATGTTAGTTTGTTAATATTGCTATCATATTCTATAAATAGAGTTAGTTTCTTTGATTGAGGTATCTTTGATTCTGTTAATTGTTTTGGGGAGAATTTCATTCTCTGTTCAGGAGCTGTTAGCTATGGGGGATTCTTTTGTAATCCTAATTCATTCTAGTGATCAATAAAACCATCATTTTCTTCTATCCTTTCCTTGATTTTATCTCTGAACCCTGACATCTAGTCTCACTATTTATGAACTACTAACTTGTAGGACTAAATCTGGATCTTCATCTGACCAGCAGCCAGAAAGTAAACCACATTCATCACCACCTGCAGTGGAGAATCTTCCTGATGCTTCACTTCTTTTGAATGCACCCACTGTCTCATCTAATCTTCTGAGTTCTAGTGACCACTCCGCTAGAGTTGCTGCAGCTCTAGCTGAAAATGCTTCACGTAAGAGAGACTCAAATGGAATGGCCTCTTCAACTGTTCGTAGTAAAGTTCCTAGAGCAAACTTGCCTCATTCAAGGAATGTTCCAGAAACTGCTGGTAATGTGCTAATTCCACCTCAGATCAGTGGAAGGTTGGTAGTTTTGTAACTTGTATTGACATATAGCTGTCTGCTTATTGATTTATTTGTGCAATTACTGCTAACTTCAAACTTGAGTTTCTTTGTTTTAAAAATTTTATCTCATGATTAGTAGATATTGAATTGATGAATGGTGATGTGAGGTGAATGTTCACAAGTTATGCACTTAGATTGAGTTTGAAATGAGCATCCCTGCTTTCTTTTTACAATTTAGATATTGATTTTGTCTATGTCATGCTGGTTTTTTGTTTTCTGTTGCTCTGTAATTGTATGCTTTGTTATTTTAGTTTTGTTGAAACCATATGCAAATTTTGTGCATGTCATTCTTTATTAGTACTATTCTTTTGATAAGAAAGTGAAATCCTCCTTAAGTAAAGAAAAGAAATGCAAAAGAAAATAATACTAAAACACACATTAGGTCAGTAGAGTTCTCCAATTCCCTTGCACATCAGACCCCCTGCAGAAAGCATGACCCAAAACCTACGGTGAAAGAGGAAAACTAGTTGATACTAAGAAGATAAGAAGGTGAAGATGTCTGGTCAAAGGCTAACATACACTCTGTCCAAATACACTATGTGCTAGCAAAATGGCACAGCTCCACCACTCCCCACTCATTTCTTCTCTCCAGTAATATTGAAAATAGGTGAATAGAAAAAAACCTGGGGTAGATCCTTCGATTACCAAAATGTTCAGCTAGTTATCCCACAACTGCCAACACAATGGAAAAGTTATGGGTGGCAGTTTCCAAACCTCGTAGCACATGATGCTAAAATATGTGTGGCCTATTTCCCTAACTGGGAATGTGCATATTAGGTTGAACTTTATAAAGGGCATGACGTGGCTTGAAAAACTATTTTAAATAGGTTAGAAACTTGTCTTTATTGGGAATAAACTTATATGTAGGCCAGCACAAGCTTAAGCTTTTAAATATGCTAACAAGTAAGTATATTATATTAAAACATCATAGTAAAAAATTAATAAAATAATAATAATAATTATGATATTATTATTATTGTTGTAATTTGATTTTTTTTTTTTTTATTATTGTGTCTACTTAAATAGGCTAGCCTATTAAAGACTTTTTGAATTGCCTAAAGCCTAACATTTTAAAGTAAACAGGTTTTTAACAGACATTTGAATGGCTACCCTATTTTGTCTGAATCTCTCATTCAGTTCTAATTTTATTTGATTTTTGATGTTTTCTTATTTAAAAGTGTTAAATATAAATATGTTATTTAGGAACATAGTATATGTGTAATTATAGTAATTAGATAGCCATATATTTGTTCTTGATTATGTAGCTATGTTTGTGATTATCCTTGTTAGTATAAATACACAGCCCGTGGTGTAGTTGAACCACTCGGAATTCATCACATGCCTACTCATTTTCTCTCATCTTAACAAAAAGTATTGAGTTAGAGGCTTAAACTTGTTTATTTCCTTGACATATATACTTTTTTATTGTCTATGTTAGAGACCAACGTGCATTAGCAAGATAGTGGACCTGGCCCAAAACAGTGGGTAGTTTATGTGAGAGAGAAAAAGTGAGGCACGGATATGCCAAAAGAGAGAGAATCGTTTGTTATATGGGGGAATGATTTGTTTAGAGGGGTATCTTTTGCAGTTAGCCAATTTGTAAGAATGGAGAGCCTCTAAGGTTCTTCAACGGAGCCAGGCTCTGAGGGTAGGGAGAGAGTCTCTCCTTGCATTTCTTCTTGTTTCAGTAATTAAATACAATCTCCCCATTTTTTTCTTCTTTCATTTGCTGCTGCTGTTCTGTGTTTTATATTCTGATTTTTAACAATGGTCCGACCTGCCGGATACTAATACGCCGGGAAATGACAAACAACAAGAAAGGGGGAAATTCGAAGAAAGGAGGATCAGCGACATCGGTAAACATGGATGACCGAGTGGAGGAGGTAGAGCGTGAATTAGCTCTGGTGCGTGAGGCGGTGGAAACTTTAAAAACCAATTTGGGCCTAGAGACAGGGGAGTGAAGCATCTGTCATATCAACAAGTCTTAGAGAGGCGCCAAAAAGGCTTGTGTTTCAAATGTGGGGGCCCGTATCATTCTATGCACCAATGTCCTGATAAACAATTGAAGGTTATGATGATAGATGATGAGGATGAAAGTGACGGAGGCGTGGATGAGTCACCAAACTCTGAAGCTGAAAACGTGTTTGACGGAGAGTGCAATACTCTTTGCTTGCAAAGTCTAGAAGAGGGCAAACGGGAGAATCCAAAAACCTTGAAGATTGCAGGTTCAATTCATGAAATTCCTCTGTGCATGCTGGTGGATAGTGGGGCAACTCACAATTTCATCTCTAAAAAGCTTGTTGACGCTATGGGATGGAAAGTAGAAAAGACCCAAGACCTGTAAATCCTAATGGGTGATGGACATAAAGTAGTCACGCAAGGGGTATGTCAGAATCTGCCGATGCAGGTCGAGAATGAGGTATATCTAATTGATGCCTATCTTTTTGATTTATCCGATATAGACATAGTATTGGGCGTGTCTTGGTTAGCATCACTTGGAGAGATGTCAGTGGATTGGCTCAAACAGAGCATTCGTTTTAATAGAGATGGTCGCGAGGTGTTGTTGCTGGGAGCGAAGCAACGTGAAAGATCCCCATTTTCCCTTGAGACCTTGGTACAAATGGTGGAAGAAAAATCAGAAACGGGAGAAGAGTTACCTGATAACTTACAGAGGGAGTTGGAGCCCTTGCTTGGAAGATTCAAGGTAGTCTTTCAAGAACCAAAGGGCCTGCCTCTCAAGAGGTCCAACGCTCATGCAATCACTTTACTGCCAGGACAAGGGCTGGTAAATGTTCGTCCATATCGTGACCCACACCACCAGAAGGATGAAATTGAGAAACAAGTGCGTGAAATGCTAGAAAATGGGTAGATAAGGAGAAGCAACAGCCCCTATTCAAGCCCGGTAATTTTGGTAAGGAAGAAAGACACTTCATGGAGAATGTGTGTGGACTATAGAGCTCTGAACAAAGTCACAGTGCCCGACAAATTCCCCATTCCAGTGATAGAAGAACTCCTTGATGAGTTGAGTGGAGCTACCTTCTTTTCAAAGTTAGATCTAAAATCCGGATATCACCAAGTCAGAATGCGCGAAGAAGATATTTCAAGGACCGCATTCCGCACAGGCGAGGGCTATTATGAATATTTGGTGATGGCTTTCGAATTAATGAATGTGCCATCAACTTTTCAGGCTTTGATGAATGACATCTTCCGTGAGTTCATGAGGAGGTTTGTGCTTGTATTTTTCGATGATATTTTAGTATATAGCACGGGCTGGGAGGATCATGTGCAGCATTTGACAAAGGTACTGGAAGTTCTGGAAAAACAGCAACTCTTTGCCAACAAGAAGTGCCAATTCGCACAGAGGAAGGTGGAGTATCTGGGGCATCTGATTTCCGAGGAAGGAGTGTCAGTGGATCCTTCGAAAGTGGAAAGTGTTGTAAAATGGCCAATTCCTACAAATGTGAAGGGTGTCAGGGGCTTCTTGGGATTGACAGGATATTATCGAAAATTTATTAAAAATTACGGGCTGATAGCTAAGCCTCTCACAGAGCTTACGAGGAAAGACAAATTTCACTGGACAGATAGAGCACAATCTGCTTTTGATGAGTTGAAACAAAGATTAACTACAGTTCCTGTATTGGCACTTCCGAAATTCACTGAAGAATTTGTAGTAGAGTGTGATGCATCGGGATTGGGTGTTGGGGCCATTTTAATGCAGAATAAACGTCCTGTGGCTTATTACAGCAAGGCTCTAAGTGAGATGAATTTGGCCAAGTCTACGTATGAAAAGGAGTTGATGGCTTTGGTACTCGCCATTCAACATTGGGAGGCATTTCACAGTTCGTACTGACCATCGAAGCTTGAAACAACTTTTACAGCAAAAAGTGTTGACAAGGAATCAACAAAACTGGGTGGCAAAGCTCCTAGGGTACAATTTTGATATACAGTACAAGCCTGGGGCGCAGAATAAAGGAGCCGATGCTTTATCACGTCTTGCAGAAGAGGGGCAATTGTTTTCCTTAGTCTATTATCCTTTTTGGATGGACATTCAGGCAGTAGTAGCAGAAGTTCACAATGATCAGAAATTGCAGAAAATCGTATCTGATTTGCAGCAAGGTACAGTGATTCCTGCTGGATTTTCGTACAGAAATGGAATTTTGTTGTTTGAGGATCGATTGGTGGTATCTGATACCTCTCCGTGGATTGAAAAATTAATGAAGGAGTACCATGAAACACCTCAAGGAGGTCATTCGGGGTATTTTCGAACTTACAGGAGATTGGCTGAAAATTTGTATTGGAAAGGTATGAAAGGGTCAATATAGAAATTTGTCCGTGGCTGTGATGTGTGTCAAAGGCAGAAGTACTTGACTTCTTCCCCCGGGGGTCTTCTCCAACCCCTTCCTATACCGGATAGAGTATGGGAGGACATATCAATGGACTTCATCATTGGTTTACCACGATCCAAGGGGTATGAGGCAGTATTTGTAGTGGTGGATCGTTTCTAAGTATAGCCACTTTATCTCGTTGAAGCATCCATACACAGCGCGGTCGTTAGTTGAAATTTTCACCAAGGAAGTGGTGCGTTTACATTGAGTGCCAAGCTCAATTGTGAGTGATCGTGATCCAGTATTTATGAGCAACTTTTGGAAGGAATTCTTTCGTTTGCAAGGGACTAAGCTTCAAATGAGCACTGCGTATCATCCGGAAACGGATGGCCAAACGGAGGTCAATAATAGGTGCTTGAAAACGTATCTTCGTTGCTTTATAGCGGAACAACCAAAAGGGTGGATGAATTGGCTGTCCTGGGCTGAATATTGGTTCAACACAACATTCAATGGGTCAATTAAAATGACCCCTTTTGAAGCTGTTTACGGGCGCAAACCACCTACTCTCATTCATAGCATTAAGGGAGAGATTCGTGTTGAGGCGGTGCAAAGAGATTTGAAAGATCGAGATGAAGCATTGAAGCAATTAAAGACTCATTTAGTCAGAGCCCAAAATAGGATGAAGGCAATTGCTGATGGCAAAAGAACTGAGAGGAGCTTTGCTGTTGGGGAGTGGGTATTTTTGAAGCTTCGCCCACATCGACAACAGTCGGTAATGAAGCTTCGCCCACATCAAAATTCTGGAGCGTGTAGGGGCTGTGGCCTATCGTCTGAAGCTACCTGAAAATGCGAAGATACATCCGGTGTTTCACGTGTCTTTACTGAAGTAGGCCATTGGTAGTTATCAAGCACAACCGGAATTACCTGCAGATTTGGCAGCAGATGGGTCTGAACCATTAGAACCGGAATGTCATTTAGATTCAAGGAAGGTTGTGAAGCATGGGGAACAGATTGTGCAGTGCCTAATACAGTGGAAGGGAAAATCAAGCGAGGAGGCCACTTGGGAAGATGAATCTCAGATCCGTAGTCAATTTCCTGAATTCTGTCTTGAGGACAAGACATTTTTTGAGGAAGGTGGAATTGTTAGAGACCAACGTGCATTTGGGCCTAATGAGTTGCTAGTGCAAGATAGTGGACCTGGCCCAAAACAGTGGGTAGTTTATGTGAGAAAGAAAAAGAGAGGCATGGGATATGTGGGTGGAAAAGAGGGTGAGCTGGCTAGTTAGTTATGCCAAAAGAAAGAGAATCGTTTGTTATATGGGGGAATGATTTGTTTAGAGGGGTATCTTTCGCAGTTAGCCAATTTGTAAGAATGGAGAGCCTCTAAGGTTCTTCAACGGAGCCAGGCTCTGAGGGTAGAGAGAGAGTCTCTCCTTGCATTTCTTCTTGTTTCAGTAATTAAATACAATCTCCCCATTTTTTTCTTCTTTCATTTGCTGCTGCTGTTCTGTGTTTTCTATTCTGAATTTTAACAGTCTAAACCTCTATATTTCAGCTTTCCTTGATATTCCACCTCTGTTTTTCCTCACACCGTTTTTTCCTTCTTAGTTTTGTATCACATTCTGCAGGATTTTTTTTAATATATTTTTGTTTGTGTGTGTGTGTATATATATATATATATTCTTAATAACTGCCATGCTTCCGCCATAGACTGCCATGGCATCTGCCATAATTTTATGGCAGTTTTTTGGCTGTCTGCCATGACCCACCATCCGCTATTTATAACATTGTATCTATCGTGAGGTTTCTCCTAGCTACATTCACATGAATGAGGGGAAAATGCTCGAGATTGGTGTGGCTGTTCTTGCACTCGAAGTTTTGGAGATTTGACATGTAGTGGATTGGCGGTGTCCACACGAGTTAAGAGTCTTTTTACCTTAGTTTCTTTCTAAATCTTAGTTGAGTGGCTGAAATGTGTGGGAATGTAGGAACTTAGTCTCATTTTGGAGCATTAGGCTGAGGAAAGTGTAGCACATTTTGGTTGGTGTTTTGGGACGTAGCCACATGAAATCATGCATGTGCATGGGAGTGGAGTTCACATGCTTTGGGTACTACCTTGGGGATGTGGAAATTGGAATCTAGGTGCCAAAGGTATTAGAGTTTTGATTGCCATCAAACTCAAATTTTAAATTGGCATTTTCAAGCATGGAATGTTTCGTCGTGGTTAAGTGATTTGTCAAACCACTGATCACCTTTGAGAACATTCCAATTGTTGGAATAATCCTAAGAAGGCTGTTAGTAGTAGGCCCAAACCCCCAATTAGAGAAGTCTATGTAAGGAGGACCAAAAGAATGATAGAAGCTCAATTAGTTGAGGATAATTGTAAATGACAGAATAAACAGAAAAGTTAGAGAGAAAGGGGGGTTGTTTTGTCAGACAAAAGTAATTCGAGTGAGAGAGACCAGGTTCTTGAAGTCCTGGAGATGTTCTAGTGTGGGTAATTCTGCCCCGACAGAGAATATTCAATAAAGAAAAGTTTACCCTTCTGTCTCTTTCTTCAAGAACTGAACCAGTTCCTTACAACTGGTATCAAATGTAGTGTTTTGCAACTTTCAGAGAGGAAATCAGAGTGGAATTTTTGTTGAAAAATGTGATTCTCCTTTTATTTTGCTAAACTCGTGGAATTGGATATAAACTCGCATGGATTTGTATTTCTGAATGTCTCCCACACTCAAGACAATTGGCTGAATCTCGTGTAACCATTTCATAGAAGTTCATTGATATCATCCTTTTGGAGTTTATCCAAGTGTACCTAAACCGAGTTTACATATGATTTGAGACTATTTCCTTACATAGGTTCATAAGCTCTTGGTTTAGGAGTTAAAACACAAGTTTAACAACCAAGCTCTAGGACAATGCTCACTTTGTTCCAACGTACTCCTAATTTCCTTGATGATTTTCATCATTGTACTTAGTAAATTGAAAAAATCAGTATGGATTGTTCTGATGAGTAATATATTGCACTCACATATTGTTGGAGACCGAAGGCCAAAAGGCCAAAATGCTCGCCCCAAAGCCCCTGCTGGTTTATTCACAATGGCATAAAGGGAAGGGTGACAATAATGCTGCAGGCAAGTTAGTCAGGAAAGGTGTTATTTTCTTCCCTCCTTTCTGATTTCATTAAGCTTTTGCAAGCTTGGGCTAGGTGAGATCCTCCATATCTGGAAGCCTCTGGGTTCTTACTTTTATTTCTGTTTACGGTATAATCAATAATACTGTCTAGGGTACCTTTTTGTGGAGAGTTGAGTACCTTGCTCTAAGGTAGGATGCTTTAGAAATATTGTTTTTTTTTTTTTTTTCTTGTTTTTATTTTATTGTTTTATTCCATTAGAAATATTTTTTATCTGCAGTTGCTGGATGTTCCAGAAGGATCTGATGTCTAGGGATACTCGTTAAATACTTTGCCATGCCCTTTCCCAAGTCCTAATCTTTTCTTTTACTGTTCTCTTTTAGGCGATACTAATGCTAAAGCTGAGATGCAGTTTGTCAGTTCTCCATGTTGTCATTCCTGAAATGTGTTTTCACTTCAAAATGTATATTGGATATTCATGGATTTCTGATTGTTATTTTCAGGAAAAATGTTGTTACAGAAGACATAAGCAAGCTATTTGTCAAAAAGCACCCGTAACATTCATCTTGTTAGAAGCTCGCATATCGTAGACAATGATGGGGGGAAGAAACTTAAACCTAAAGATGCACTTCAACTACTCGAAAGTGCTTACTTTTGTAGAATGTGTGCTTGTTTACCTTTGAGTTTGTCTATATCCTTAGCTTTGTTCGTGTAGCTGCTTATGTTACATTGTCAATTTCCAGCTTAGCCAAATATAGAAAAAAGGAGCAGAAACCCTTGAGAGATGATTTGTTTCACGGCCTATTTGTTAGATTTAGGATTCTTGAGAATACTGTGAATCGTATTTTTCATGCTTTGGTTAAAGGTTTTATAAATATTTTAAGGCTTGCAACATTGCTAATACTAAATTTTGACTATAAGAGATTTTCAAATTTTCCAATTTTTAATATTTTGGGGGAGGGGGTGATTAGTGCCCAAAGCTAGTGAACTGTATAATTTCAGAAGATTCGGGTGATTGACAAGAGAAACTAGTACAAACTTCCATTCAAATAAGTTATTTGTCTTTCAATTATCTTACAAATTTCCTTTTGTTGAACTGTAATGATATTTTATATATAGCAAATTTATTATTTTAAAATTGAACATGATTCGTTTGTTTTTTCAAAGAACATGATTTTTATTTTGGTTAACACAGAATTATATTAAATCAATCAACCTTCAATTGTATATATAAATTGTAAGCATTAATCATAAAATAGTATTTTTAAGAGAATACTTTTAAAAAAGTGTTTTAGGGATTAGGTTGTTTTACCAAGTAGTTTTTCTTTTATTATGTATTTACTTTTTAATTAAACATCTATGTATAAATTGTGAATATTAATGTTTAAACAATAATTTTTGAGGGAATTGGTTTTTTTTTTATCTTGTCAAGTAATATTTTATATTATGTATTTTTTTTTTAAATTAATGTTAATTTATTTTATTTAATATATTTTATAGAATATTTTTATTAATAATATAATATTTATTCTTTTAAACCCATGAAATTTATTAAAATTTAGAAACATTTATATAATATCTTTTAAAAGTTTGTTAATTTAATGATATATATATTTATATATTTATATTTATATATTAATATTATAAGCAGTGCATGAAAAAAAAAAAAAAAAAACTACTAAGATAAATAATATGTTCCGACAGCTAAGGTGGATCAACGATCTCACACCTAGAAGGCGGAAAAAAAAATAAAAATTGTTGACGTTATCTATTATACCTAACTCCTGAGCAGTTAAAGCTGAACGAACGTACGGCAATAGTCCAGCGTACATACAACCATCTTTAATATAGTTGGTAATACATTTGTAACACCTTTTTTATTAGTTTAAATTTATTAAAAATTATAAAAAATTAAAATTAAAATTTTAATAAATTTTAGCTAATAATAAAGAGTATATTAGAAAAGGTATGTTAATAAATATATTACTAATATTCCTTTAAATAGAATGATTAATGATTTTTTAATGTAACTACAAATCTTATGATACCGTAAAAAAATATATACAAGTTATTATGAATATCACTGAAAAGAAAATATTGAAAATCTTGTATAGAGTTATGTTAACTTGAGTTTGGTTATAAAGATGTTTAATTTATATTTAGCTGGAATATTACTGTAAGGTAACTTAAAATTGATTAGGATTTAATTTGCTTTGGGATATTTCACTGTCAGCTTATAAATACTCATTCGGGACCATTATGTAAGAAATTTTTACCAAAATATTATAAAAAAAAATTAAAAATACCCAAATAAACCCTCACACACTTTATTTACCAATTTAGACTCAATTACTGTTGACAATTTCGGCAATTGAATATAAGTCAGAATTCGGTTTTCTGAGAACTCAGGAAACCGAATTCTGAATTGTATTTTGTAAATTTTTTTTAATTTTCAAATTTTATTTTGTATTTTTATATAATAAAATAAATATTATTATTTTAATTATATTTATATTTTATTAAAATAAATATTTATGATATATTATTGAAATAAATATTTATAAATATTTTATTAATTATATATAATAAAATAAGTTTTATTATTTAAATTATGTTTATATTTTTATATTATGTGAAATTGAATAAAAATAATAATAATATTTATTTTACATGTTTATTAAAATTTATTTTACATATTTATGATAAAAAATATTTTTTTTGTTTTTATTATATTATTTAATAAAATTTTGATTTTTTTAAATGATATTAATATTATATTGTGAAATTTTATTTTTGGTAATTTAATATTATATTTTTAAAAAAATAAAAATTACAATAAAAGTTGAGAAATTTTTATATTTTTATAAAATAAAAATTATAATAATAATTTATTTAATTTCATATTTTTTATAAAATAAATAAAAGTATTAAACAATGATAGACTTTTTTTTTTTAATATACTAATTTTTTTTATTTATCTCAATCACTCATTTTAATATTTATTTACCTAACTAATAATATTTATCTCAACATGTTTTTATTTATTTTCATAATATTTAATTAATATATATATTAATATTAAATTTATTAATAAATTAAATAATAAAATTATATTTAATGAAAATAAAATATTAAATTTTTTAAAAATTAATAAATTAGTTTGTAAAATGATATTAATAAAATAAAATAATTTGATTTATGATAATATCTTTGTTTTTTAATTTATTGTATGCAAAATTAATTAAATGAAATCATTAAGATTATTTTTGTTAGATAATATGAAATGAATTTATAGATAAAAAATTAAATAAAAAAAGATAAACAACAATTAAATGAACTTTCATAATTAAAATAAAATGAAACAGACATGGAAAGTAGAAAAGAAAATATAAAATACACATTTAATTGGTTAAAAATTAAAAAAGATATTCTATTGCATATTTTTTCTCTCCATGATGGTCAATATACTTACTGTCATGTCAATCACGAAGTCTTTCTTCAAGTGTTGGGGGTCATAGGTCTTTTATTTTTACAAACAATTCAATCTTTGACCAGTTATGTGTATGTTGAATGCTTGAATGAAGTTTAAATTTTTTTTTCAATTGTGCGATCATCTGTTGCACATCAGAATTATTTTTTATTTCTATGCAATCATAGACGAGTTTTTGGTTGATGACCCAGATCGGTCGTCTATAATTGATTATTGTAATTTGTTTCTTGTCTCCATAATCCAGTACCTCACTTACCTCTTGAAACAATTGATTGAAAGTCCAGCTGTGTTGGATGATCATTCTTATTGGGTGAAGACATTTAAACATAAGGCCATAACCATGTGGACAGTTCATGATGGTGGCATGCTGGATAGGTCTCCCAAAATATATTATAGCTTTGCTAGAAGTGATGGATTGAGGGTTTGATGAAGAGCTTGGGGCTGGAGGGTTTAGAAGCGTCATAATTTGTTCTGTTGATTTTTGATAGATGACATAAATTTCAATGATTAAAGAGACTGAAAAATTGAATTTCCAGGAAAGCATCTGCGCCACTTGAACATCAGTTAAAATAGAAAAAGCTTCAAATATAACTAAACCCTCACCACTGTGATTTGGTTTCCGATAGTACAAGTTAGTGAACTGGGTGTTATGATCAATGCCTAAAGCATTACAAATTCTTTGTTTCAGCTCCACGAATGTGCACTCATATGGGATCGTAAATAATTTTGGAGATGAACACTGAAAGCTCACACCTTCGTGATTATGGGTAATCTGGCCATTTGCAAACATAACAGCTAGATGAGAATTTGTGAAATTGTCGATGTTTGTTATACCGAAGTCCTCCATCTAAAGTGTCGGATGTTAATGTTATATTTTGTAATGAATGTGTGGTGTTTGTTAACTACATGATATGTCTTTTATAGACGGTAAAGTAGGTGCTTGAAAAAAAAGGATGGTCAAGATCGTTTATAATATGTTCAATGGTTGAGATTAATTTTATATTTCCTGATATACTATTGAGTGGTCAAATTAAGACATAATGCAACGTGCTATTGTTTTATGAGATTCTTGATAAAAGTGGTCAGTGACTTATCTTATTTCAGATGAGACAGTTGAAGTGAGTAGTTGCTGATAAAGTTGGTATGAGAACATCGTGCAGTGTGTTATTGTCTTTATCAGATTGTTGGTAAGTGTGATAATTTATTAAAGGGTTTTGTGTACAGACATTGACCTTAATAATGGTACCATTGGATTTCTTTGTACGATTAAATTGTTGAGGGACAAGTCTTTTTGTTTATCTTGTTTGCTGTTAATATTTATATTTGTTGTATGTTTGTCATTTATTATTTCCAGTATTGTAATTTTTTGATTTTATTTAATAAAAAAAAATAGGATACTTGGTGATTAAAAAAGGTATATGCATAGAAAAGACAAATGATTATACACAGTGGAAACATATTCTAATGACACTCTGATGCAGTGACATAAAACAATTTATTCCTACCACCCTGACATAAAGTCAATGACAATCTGACACACTGACGCAGCGTCATTAATTTCTGATGTAAAGTTAATGACACTCTGATGCACTAACATAAAACAATTGATTCCTGACACCCTAACGTAAAGTCAATGACAATTTGACACACTGACGCAGTGTCATTGATTCCTGACGTAAAGTTAATGACACTCTGACGCATTGACATAAAGCAATTGATTTCTAACACCCTGACGTAAAGTCAATGACAATTTGACGCACTGACGTGGTGTCATAGATTCCTGATGTAAAGTTAATGACACTTTAATGCATGGTCCATCATAATAAATAGTATCCCGAATAGTGTAAGACTTAATTGATAAGATGTTTCAATGTGATGCATTGTACACTTTGGCTACAAAACCTTATATAATATCTTTTCTCTTCTCTTGATCAAATGCATTCCTCAATATTCATATTTTCACTCTTCAAAAATGTCAGCCTCATCTACAACTATGCTATGGAAACAACTTCTCCATAGATCAAATGAAGCTCTTGATATGGTAAGATACAATGAGACTTGCTAATGTTTAGATATAATATTAAATAATATTATGTAGATATATATATATATATAATATAAATTACAAATACTAAAAATTTATAAGTTGCAGTGACATTTATAAAATAAAAAATAACAATAAGAAAATTTTAAAGTCATAACAACAACAATATAAATCAATGATGGGAAGTAGAAGTTTGAGCGATGTTTGGACATGTCTTCCTTGTGTGACCAGGGGTGTGACAATAAGAACAATTTTTTGCCCGACTTTGTTGTTCTCTAATGTCCATCTCTGTTCTTATCCTACTGGACTTGGGCCGACTCTTTGAAATTCTTTTCAGTTATGAATTTGGACACAAAGTTGGACCCGTGTAAGTTGGCCAATAATCTTCGTGTCTGAGTTCTTCAAACTGACCTTCGTATACCTTAAAAACTTGTTGTAAGGTATACACAGGAGATATGTAGATGTCAAAGTTGTGGTGTGCGTGTAAGCATGAGGCAAGTACATGCGAGCATGGGATGTGAACCTTTTGGAACTTGCCACAATCACACCACATTTCATCTAATCGTACTGTAAATCTTCCTATGGGTCGAATTTCTATCG